AAGTTTTTTTAAAAAATATTTTCAAAAAAGATTTTTTTTTTTTTTTTTTGTCCATAAATCCTTCACAAGTACCGTCCATCCGAAGCACTTCGGAACTGAGGGCCAAATAAAACGACTAGGCAATACAGTAGCGCTCCGATTAACCCATTCCCTGCCGGCCATTAACCGCAACGCCTGTTCCATATTAATCAAGTATTTCCCGAGGAACCTCGCACTTCTCAAACTGAAATGAACATGGCAACCCGTAAAATAAAATGTGCCCCCTCCCCACTTTTATACGAAAATCAGAAGTTTCTATTTTATTGGACAGCAGCAGAAATATTGTTTTAGCGTTTTACAGCGTAGAAGGTTCATAAGTCTGCCAAGGCTTATAGACTGAAATATTAATATGGTAGAAAGTGATCTGTAATCACAACCTCGTGTGATCTCACGTTTTATGTCTTGTATAGTTGTTGTTGTTTTTTCGTTTTTTAATATCGTGAGCCTAGTGGAGGTTAATATTATACATTAAGATTAAAAAGAAGCTGAGCTGTAAAACTGGCTGATATCTATATATTTATTATGAACCAGGATGGGGTATTTTCGATTCTAAAACAGTCACAATCCAACCTCCGATTACACAATATATTGGCTAAATTCACACAGCTTTAACATTGGGATAAGGATCTTTATTTTATTTTATTTTTTGCCATGTCACTGTAATTTTCAAATATCATTGGATTGAAAATAACTGTCAGCTTTTACATACGTATTCTTATCCTGGTGCCTTAGCTTTGTGAATTGAGCCTTAAGGCTCAATTCACAAAACTTTACCAAGAAGGATAAGGATCTTTATTTTTTGCCATGGGACTGCACTTTTAAAATCTCATTGGACTCCGCTGAAAATAACTGTCACTTAAAAAAAAAAAAAAGGATCCTTATCCTGGTGTGTTAGCTTTACTGATCTTATGATCTCTTTACTGATCTCCTATAGATCTGAAATAACTGCGTAATGGTTTCATGAATCTGCCTCATGGTAAAGATACTGTTTGTAAAAAAAAAAAAAGTTAAGGTATGCTTAGTGCATTCATAAATAAAGGGGTGAGCTTGGTAATGTTAGGTATTGGGGGCAGGGAGTATTGGTACCTGTAATAGTCCTCTTTGCAGTAGATGCTGCCATCTTTGCTGAAGCAGGTCAGTTCTGACTCCAAGTTTAATTTACATTCACAGCACTTCAGGCAGCGCATGTGCCACTGTTTGTCCACTGCCAGGAGGTAGTAGCGATCCGAGATCTTTCCCCCACAACCGGCACACAAGGCAGCCCTGTCATTGCTGATGGAGGGCATCGTCTAGCAGAAAAGGGGGCACAAAGACACAATCGGTAAACATCCCATCCACAGATTTCTCACTATTAAACCAAAGAAGTTACTACAGTGGTGAAACAACAAAAAATAACAATAAACTGTGAAATAAAACAAGTTTTACTGCCACAAATTAGTTCATTTTTAATGATTTTATATCAGATATATATTACTTCTAAAAATAGTTTAAGCCGATCACTTGGGAATTATTTGGTTTGATAAAAGCCTGGTACAAGTCACCCTAACCATGCTTTTATTATTTGATCTGTAGTCACAAATGATAAATAACGTTATATAGTACATTTTGCCTTGTATGCATTTTTAAAAAGGCAAAATACATTTTCATATGGACATAGTGGATCCAAATGTAGATTTTCTTGTTATATATAAGAGCTGATATATAATTAAAATTATATATGTTAGCTAATGGGATGTGTTGGCTGGGAGCACTAAACTTATATAAT